AGAGCCCTGTGACTGCTCCAGGCCTGGGCAGCCCTTCAGCTACACACACCTCGAGAAAAGCCTGCTCTGGGCAGAAGCAGGCAGGGGAAATGTTGAGATTCAGACCAGCCTTGCTCCATGCCAGCAGCAAAGCACCAAAGCAAAGTGCATCCAGAAAAGGAGAGAGGAAAGAGAGGGGACATAAGAGTGTCTAGGAGTACAGCTGGGGAACTGCATGTTCATTGTTATGACAGGCAGCAGACATCTGCAGCTGGTTCAACAGATGTTGTACCTTTCCACAAACCTTGGCTCTCCTACACAACCCTTGTTTCTGCACAGCCCTCAGTCAGGGCTGCCAGCAGTATTGGAGTGCAGGAGCATGTTGGGCAAGCCCTTGCACACACCCAGCTGATGCAACAAGACCAGTCAGTTAATCCTATCGCTCCACCTAGGGTGAGGAGCCCCACAGCAAAGTGTTTGTGATCACAAACTAACCACAAAGGGGTTAATCTGATAACAACCAGGACAAAACTCTAAGGGAAATGAAGCAAGTGTTTCACGAAGAGGTAGGAGACAGTTTGTGACACCATGTAAGCTTCCCTGTCAGTGGACAGAGGAATGCAGAAGAGCTGCTAACAGGACCAAGAGGCTAGTGTTGCACTGAGGGCACAGACCTGCAGAGACCTGGCAAATGAGTAGTCACTTCTGCAGTGAAAAGCTGGAAGAGCCTGAGAAGAGCAGCAGACAAGCACACCATTGAAACCTTTGGTTCTGGCAGTCCACACTTGTCAGATGTCTCAACATACACAGAGACACAAGCACAGCAGAGCAAAGGTGTAGCTCAGCTTGAGATGCAAAAAGCAAGCTCCAGGGATGGGCTTGCTCAGGGGATCGGCTTATGTAGAAGAGACATCAATGGGCTGTGCCAGTATCTCCAACTTTGCATCTTTCCCTTTGTGAAAAACATGGCTATAGATGAAGACAGAACGTACACAAGCTCCTTAAATGGCAAGATGAAGACAGAAAACCTTTATTGGTCTGTATCAGCTCAGCTCTCAGACTTGTTCTCCCAGACAAAGACCTAGGTGCTGGCAGCTCTTCCATTGAGCTCATTCCCACTTGCGGTCTGAGGTTGCTCCAAAGGAATGGAGAGCAGCAGCCATATGCCCATTTAGGAAGAGGGGAGATAGTGGAATGCATTGTGACATCTGCCTCAAGACAGTTTAGATCTTGTCAATCAAGTCAATAGGAGGCCAGATAAAAATACCGGCCACTGCAGGCCTTCAGCAACTCAGCTGCTTCTGGAAGTGACAGGAGAAAGTCTAATCAGCAATTCCAAGAAAGCATTCAACGGTGTGCAGTGAGGTGGCCACTATTAATCATGGAAACCAAACTTCCTGCTCTCCTAAGGCTATGAGGACGGCATAGCTGGGTGTGAGTAGGGAAGAAAAGTTCAACTCATCTGCCCAGGTGAGACTGGAACAGCAGGATGCTGTGAGACCCTGTCACTGCTCTGTTCCAGATGGCAGAAACCGAAGCCACAGACATGGACTTTGGGTATATGAAGAGTTTAGATGTTGTAGAGACTGTTGCAAAGAGCTGCCATTCTCAGTGTCAGACATCAGGTCACTGAATGGCAAATACACACATGTAAAGGAATCTAAATCACCTTGACATAAAATAGACCTTTTGTCACTAAGGATTTGGCTGTGGGAAAACTTGCCCTGAAACAGTGGGTTGAACCCTCATAGCAAGACAGAGATGTTGCTCTGGGAAAAGCAGACATCAGTCCAGGTCCCCGTGTGGGGTATCAGATTCCACCTGGCAGCACCTTAATGTAACGGGTCCATGTCCGCTTATCCCCACAGGGAGCTTCAGCTGCTTTGAAACACAACACATGGCATCTTCCCTTGCTCTTCTCTGGGCAGGGTGCAGAGACCCTGTGACACAGCAAGCCCAGTCCATGCATCAGCAGCAGTTTTTCAGCTGCTTTTGACTGTGCAGGACCGTTTGAGACAAAGTCTGGTACAGGGGGCAGGTACTCCCACCTCCACAGCCATGGCAGCAACAGCCCCTGTGAGAGGCAGGGGCCCCCCAAACTTGCCCTGAAACAGTGGGTTGAACCCTCATAGCAAGACAGAGATGTTGCTCTGGGAAAAGCAGACATCAGTCCAGGTCCCCGTGTGGGGTATCAGATTCCACCTGGCAGCACCTTAATGTAACGGGTCCATGTCCGCTTATCCCCACAGGGAGCTTCAGCTGCTTTGAAACACAACACATGGCATCTTCCCTTGCTCTTCTCTGGGCAGGGTGCAGAGACCCTGTGACACAGCAAGCCCAGTCCATGCATCAGCAGCAGTTTTTCAGCTGCTTTTGACTGTGCAGGACCGTTTGAGACAGTCTGGTACAGGGGGCAGGTACTCCCACCTCCACAGCCATGGCAGCAACAGCCCCTGTGAGAGGCATGTGCCACTCAGGGCCTGTAACAGCCAGTGAGCAACTTGCTGGGGCTGGAAGCCCACAGGATGCTTACCTGAGGGCAATTGTCACAGGAGAACAACACAGGCAGTACCTGCTGTCAGTTTAATCCTGTTTGGGCCTTGTTCCTTGGGAGCTAGGCAGGTGGAAATTTGTCTAGCAGCCCATCAGCACCCACCCTGAACAGCACAGGGAGAATGGCTCGAACCCTGTGAGATGTTAGGGAGCCCTTGAGGCTGCTGCCAAGCTAGTACTGCAAGACTTCACAGCAGTGCAAGAGGATGAAACAAGGAAAACATGACAATTAAATAAATATAAGCTTTTATTACAATAGAAAATAGTAAAACTCATGTTAAACTAGACTCTTGCTTTTGGACTGCTCAGAAAAGCCTAAGCCTCACTTGTACCTGCCAGTGCTCACCAGGGTCCTAACCCCTAAGTAATGAGCACCACTTTTCTGTGCTAAAAGCCTCACAGCTCCTCTTGCCCCAGTGACAGTGAACGACTACAGCAGCTGTCTGAGCCATGCCCCACCAGGCAGGCAGGTAAGGACTCTCTGTGGGGTTATGAGTACAACATGTCTCATCCCCTTGTGCAATCAGGCTCCTGTTTGAAGCAGGCAGCTTTAGGGAAGCTATGGACAGGAGGGAGGGGAAGGGGAAAAAAAAGAAAAACAAACAGAAGAAAAAATACAGCAACCCAGCAGCAGATACTGGCTGCTGTTCAGAGACAGACAGAAAGGCAGCAAATACACCTGCTAGAAAGACCACAGCACCCAACTGCCTCTGGTGTGCTGTTTGCCCAGTACCACTGCATGTCCTGCTGAAGATGCTCTGGCCTGGCTCCCCTCTTCAGTGATGTCCATATAACCCTGAAAGAGTCTAGCAGGCACTGCCAAGTTAAAATGCTGTGTAGCTTATGCAGTACTAGAGGGAACACTCCCCACCTCCTCCTTCCATGGCCAGCCCGTGCAAGTGAGTGACTGTGCGGTCTGGACCATTGTGTGCTCCCCTCTTCCTCACCAAAAAGGGCCAAGGGCAAGAGTAGAGTAGAAAGCAGAGGCCACAGGACAGCAAGGTCTGATGGCAGTGGGAGACACCAGTGCACCATTACCAGCACAGCAGCATGCTTGACTAGGAGCCCTGCCTGCCTGCAGCCGGCGAGCTCACTCCAGCCCCTCGCGCACTGCCCTCCGCAGCTCGATGGAGAACATCTCCTCCCAGGGCCCGCGGATCCACTCCACCAGCTCTGCCAGAAGCTCAGGGCACTCTGTGCGGAGGTGCCAAGTGCTCTCCACCTTCAGCATCTGGGAGGGATCAAAGAGAGGGAGGCAGGTAAGCAGGGCCTAACCTCAAAGGCACTGATCACCCCTGAGCTGCTGCTCCCCCGTGCTCCTCCCAGTTCCTAAGTTGCACCCTCCTCCATCTCTGCTGCCAGCCATGGAAGTGTCCCTGCATGACTTTTGTACAGCAGCTGTACACGGTGCTCCCCTGCCTCTGTGGTGCAAGGCCCTGGGTTAGGATGGGAGATGACAGCCCCAGAGTGGTCTTGACAGGAGCAGGATTCTGGGCACAATGTAGCCCCCCAGCATCTTGTGTGCCCCATTACCTCATCATAAAGCATCAGCTTGATGTCATATGGACATAGACGATAGGTTATGACATTGCTAATACTGCTGATTGGCTGCTTCTCCTTCAACTGGATGTTGCTCCTAGGAGGTGTTTCTCCCTCATGGTCTGCATCCAAGGAAGGCTGCACCTGCCACTGGTGATTCTCCTCCAGCAGAAACAACATGCTTCGAGTGCTCAGCAGGGTCACAGGGAAAGCAGATGCCCCTAAAAGGATACAACGGAATAGGACAGGCTTTGCTGAGGAGCCTGAGTCACCACAGAACCAGCTTTGCTTTCCCCTAGGGAAATCCTTTCCAGCAACAGTAACTGGGTGAACAGCCTTATCCAGCTTCCTGACTGAAGAGGGGGAGAAGGGTAGCTAAACGTGGCTGGGCTTGACCAGCCTATCTAAGCTCATTGCAGGAGCACACATATGGAAAACCACCATCCAGCAAGCTTTGTCCAGCCTATGTCCTCATGTGAGGCAGGAAAAAACACTTGAGTCCTCTGACCTCTTGAACAACAGTTTTTGACTCCTTAGTTAAAAGTCTTCAGCTCCAGCTAAACGGCTGCCTTTTTTGGCCTGAATTCATCTGACTGGAACAGAGAGCACACACATGAAGTTTAATACCAAGTTGGGATGTGTCATAAGTATGGCAGGAAGCAAAGCAGTTTTGATAAACTTTAGGGAGCATAAATATCATCCAGCTGATTTCAGCTGATGCAAATGAAAAGCACTAGAACTTTGGAATAAGTCAGATGCACAGGAATAGGGAACCAACAGCAGAACTGGCGGAGGTCACAGGGGAGCACAAGCTGCTACAGCAACACGTTGCTTTTCTCATCACATCCCACTCTGGGGAAGTACTAAGAGTATCAGGAATCAGTCCTGTCTACTCAGCATTGAGGCCTCAGCTGGAACTGCATCCAGTGTTAGGCACCATACTCTTTAACACGAGAAAACTGTAGAGTAAAAAACCCACACTTTAAGTTCTCCCTCTCACAGGCTATTTGTTCAGCTTGAGGAGACTAATAAACATACTTCCAACAGATTCTTCTGATTCTTGTTCTCTCATACCTCTCCAATGGCCAATGGTGAGCACGGGTGTAAGAGCAGTAACAAATTGGTCAGAGCTGATTAACAGCTAGGTTGACTTTTTTCAGCGTCCCAAGCTAAGACAACACTGGAGTTGTTCACTGAAGATTCAAATCCCAGGTTTAGCACATTTGGCCCACAGCAAGCCCTGGAACAGAACTTGATGAGCTCCCAGCAGGCTGCTCTTGTCCTACCATATCAGGTTCCACACACCTGCTTCTGTTTTCCCAAACTGAGGAGCCTTTCAGCTCCTCACACAAACCATTTGTATTTATGACCCCTCAGTTATCCCTCAGCTCAGGGCAAAGATCCAGCCCTTAGATAATCTCCAGTTTCCCAGAAACCATTTTGAGTTGTCACCAAACCTTATGTGCAAGACTAGCTGCTCTCTACAGCCTGGACTTCCATGAAGAAAAGGGGTGAGAGGTTCACTTGATAGAAAGGAAGAAGCATACTGCTATCTTATATATCTCCACAGTAAGAAAAAAAAGAGCCCACCCTACCTCACTGCTGGACCAGTGGCCTAGCTCTTTTCCACAGACTGTTCACTAAAGACACAAGCATGTAAGCAGATAGGGACATCTGGTCACTGAGATCTCCTGTACCTTGAATGAGGTAGGCCAACAGGTAGAAGAAACAAGGGTCATCTGAAGCTGCAGAATCTGTGGTCTTGGGGTCCAGCAGAGGCCTGGAGGAGATACAATAGTTAGAAAGGGAGATGACAGCCTCAAGGAAGCACTTTGTTTCCAGTCTAGGTTTGTTGTGAGCTAGCTACGGTTCACTGTCCTCCTGGGGAAGGGAGGAACCCATCTCTTCTGGGTGCTGTAAAATTCCTCTCTCTTCTGTTACTCTGCCTGCCACCTTGCCAGCTAGGAAATGTGCTTCTTTTGCAAGGGGGAGGCTCCTCTATGCCTCCCTCTTTTCCTCCTCCCATTACATTCTACTCAGGCTTCTCTGTCTGTGTCACCTCTTTGCCTGCTCACCCCTTGTGCAGCTGGCACTTGAGCCAGTTGTCTTAACCTGTAACACAGGCCTGGCTGCCACTGCAGCACTGCCTCCTCCCATGCTCTGCTGGGAGCACTATGCTTCCCAGGCACTGCTGGAGAAGCAGACATCCTGTTCTATCCAAAACCCCAACTTCTCAGAGGCTGTTCTTACCATAGCCAATGTTGTGGATTCATTTTCACAGTGGGGATTTCCTTCACCTTACTCCTGTGCTTAGCAGGCAGCTCTTGCATGAGATCTAAAGAGAGGCAGAAGGCAGACAGCTTTTGTTGCAAACCCAAGGGCAGAACATAACAGCTCAGGAGAGTTCTCTAGTCCACAGAGAGGCACACAAAGATATGGTGCCAACAGGGTTCCCCCTCAGCTTTTTTCTGAGCTGGCAAGAAGTGTATTTCCCACAGACATCCAAATAGAGCTCTCCTGGTAGCTCTCCAAGAGCAAATCTTCCGAATCCTCTCCCACCCCATTCCCACTAGAGCTCCACTCTTACATGTCAGGGTCTGCAGGAACTGGTCACAGCAGCTTTGGTTCCGGATCAGCAGATTGTAGGAGGCTTTTGGGTTCTCAAACTCCATTCGCAAGCTCTGGTGGCAGAGTCCCACTTCCAGATGGGAAATATCAGACAGGAAGTGAGAGTCATTCTTCTTCAGCCAGTCTGCAGGTTGTCCCCTAGTCAGAGAGCACAGCCCTCAGCTGCAGCATGTTTCCCCATCTCCTCTCCCACATCAGATTGTAGTAGGGTGTTTGCCAGAAGAGCCTTTGCATGTCACCACACTTCCAGGGTAAGGCTAGCACAGGCTGGCACTCACAGCCTTGCTGCAGGGTCTCACTTGCCACCATTTTCCTCACCTGATAGCCCCAGTGACTTCCAGCACATAAATCTTGAGATCAGAGGCAACCAGAATTGAGAGGAACTCTCCTTGTCGGCCAAACTTCACCATGACAACCTAGAGGACAGAGAGGGTGGGTCAGAGCACTGGCCTGCCTCTTGCCAGCCTACCCATGGAAAGGACCAACTCAAACACTTCAGCTCCCTTCACAACCCCACACACACTGCAGTGCTACCCCAGTGCAGAACTTGCAGGGTAAAAAGGACAGCCAAGGTGCTGTGGGAATGGTGATGTGGGAGCTCACCTTAAGAAAGCACTGGAACTCTTCAGCATCCTCTTCAAAAACTTCCATATCCAGGTACAGCTTCAGGCGATGATCCACAGAGCGGAAGTCCCTCGTGTTCAGGACACCATTTACAGCTGAGGAGAGCAAAGGGTAGGATTGACACTGCCCACTGACCAGGTGCTGCCCAAGCAGCATCACCCCTTCTGCACACCAGCTTCCATCAAGTCTCTCCTCAAGACAAAGGGCCAAATCTAGGGCTTTCCTAGCCACAGGTCTCAACATGGAACATGCAGGGACATCACTCCAACACTTGCTTTTTGTCTCTTCAGAGAGACATCTGTCTTAAAAGGTTCAGGGAGACCTCTACAGATCAAGGATCTGATAGGTTTGCAAATCAAGACAAGACTGCAGTGGCAACAGTCACTTGGTGGGCTGGACCAGATAACCTCCATGGCTCCTTTCCAACTTGTTATTCTGTAAATGACAAGCTGATGGCCAAGCAAAGGCATCATCTGCTACATCAGAAATGCAAGGCACTTCACAGACAGCATTAGTGGACCTCCTACTAACTGCCATCTTGCACAACAGCCCTCACACAGCCAGCACACAGTCCCTTCTTTTGGACAGACCTCGTCATTTGAAGCTCACGGAGACCCTTGAGGAAAGCACAAGTAACTGCAGATCCACTAACCAGAGCCTGCTAAAAACACACCAGCCTCACACTGCACTTCAGCTAGAGAATAAATACAGAGAAATTATGCATATTGTTCTCCACAGGTAATGCTCCAGCTGGCAGCTCACTGGTGCCACAGGAACCCAGTATGTCTGTAACTGAGCAGTGCAGCTCCCAGAACAAAACCTTATTACTCATAATCTGAGCAATACTAGGGATTAGGAGCTGACTCAGTTTTCACTACCTTCAGGCATGAAGATTGAACAGAAAGGGGAAAGAAAACACACTCAAGAACCATGGTTAGTGCTGCTCACGCTTGATCATCCCCTGTCCCCATTAAACAGGGGGCAGCACAGCCTGCAAGCACCAGTGATAAAGCCCAACACCAAGCTGTGCACGCCCCTAAATCCCACACAGCTCCCTACATACTCACGGGGACTGAGATTCCATGTTTCCTCAGACTCGGAGTTCAAAGAGAGCTGGGAAGGAGTGGCCCCCCGCGAAACGCTGTAACGGTAGCTCCCTATCAGGCTGCCCCCATTGGTGTCTGTGTGGCTGAAGGAGAAGTATTGGCTCTTCAGGCTCAGCTCCTTCTTCCCACAGCCCTCGTCTGGACTGTGGGCACTGAAATAGAGCGTGCCATTGTGCTCCCCACTCAGCTCCGGGGTCCTGGTGCTGGTGTCCATCTCAGAGCTGTCCTCCCCGCCAATGTAGAACTTCCCACTTTCACTGGCCAGGGGAGGTGCTTCCTCTGGGCCCTCCTGTTGGCTGCCTCCCTCCAGGACAGAGTCTGACAGGTCTTCACTTGTGCTATCGTGGCCAGGTGGCAAAGGTGTGCTGGAGCACACCTCTGAAGGCAGGATGACCACATGGTCACTGGAACAATTGGGACAGACTATGGATTCACTAGCTGCTGCAGCATCTGTGGAGGGATAAAGAAAAACTAGAACAGCTCTCCCCAGCAAGATTTTATTTTCCTTTTTCCCTTCTGCAAACCACAACCTATTCCTTTCAAAGCAGACAATAGTTATAGTCTAACTTGAGCAGCTTGTTGAGCAACTCTGTTCAGAATCATATCCTATGTATCCTTGCCTCATAAATCAAATAGAAATTGTGGATCAGTGCCAACATCCACCTGAAATAGCTCTGCTCAAATTTAGGGTGACCAGTACGTGATGCAGTTGCAACTGAAACCACATCAGAGCTTGGGCTCATGACTTTCTTCCACTTTGTGTCCACAAGTACTCACATAGTTTTTGAGGCCCAAGCTCACAACTTTCCTTAGCCACCTCCATCCCCAGCTTAGGCTACCCCTCTTCTCCAGCTGTCCTCTTCCCTCCTGACCCCAATTTCTGAAGCTCCCTTCACCCACACCACAGCAGACTCCCAGCTGGATCTTGGGACTTCCACTACCCTGCTAGGGGGTAGAAAGGGCTGGAGGAGACTGCTGCAGCCAGGGCAGCACTCCTGCCCCCACTGAAGTACTTCAGTTGCAGTATATTTCACCAAATGAGCAGCATCTTCTGAGCTAAGGTTGGGCACTCCCCTCTAAGCTTTGAAAAAAATAATCAGCAACTGGAAGGTGCCTGTTCAGCACTAGCCATGTCTCACCCAAAATACCACATCTAGTTTCAGACACCCAAAGATAAATGTGGACAAATGGGAAAGA